TTCCTTTGTTGACAATTACGTGTATGTTGTGTGGGAAGTTGCAAATTTGTATATTTTCCATTCCTTCCTGTTCTCCTTCCTGAGTTCACAAATCGGCTATTTTAATTCTTGAAATAAATCAAATTCACGCTCTCGAATATACTCACACACTTAAAGAAAGTGACCATTTAAACTCGTGCACATAGCACGGAATAGAACCGCACGCTGTGGACATAGCGTACCGACATGTTGCTCGTGGAGTGGCTGCGTAGTTCCAATGTGTACCACCCGTGGACGTGCGCTAGTTTACGGGGCGGAAAAGTGATTACACATTCTCTTATGGACCTGGCCGCTCTCAGACTTCTCTCTGACTCTACTTCCAATGGAAACGGAACACTAAATTTAATCCGTACCGGGCTGTGTTCCAAAATTCACTGCCAGCGCTAAAGATCTATAGTTTACGTCACGTATATTGTACAATTTTAGCACTGGCAGCGTNCTGGCAGCAATTCTGGAACACAGCTCCGGAGTGAAATCGAATTGAGGGTTTCGGTGGAAACTAGACCAGTTATTGCCCGTATAAACCAGGCCTTAGCCTAGATTTTCATGCAAACACCGGCGCTTTGACACCGAACGTTGATTGGTGAAAAGCGGGTGGTGAGGGTAAATTAGGGTTGCCATTTACCCTCACCATCCGCTCTTCACCAATCAACGCTCGGTGTCAAAGCGCCGGTGTCTGCATGAGGATCCAGGCCTTATGGGCCTGGCTGCTCTCAGTCTTCTCTCTGATACGATGTTATTTCCGATTGGCTGTCACATAGAGAATTTCTCTAGTCTTGAAAATTTTCCGATCAATCGACACGAAATATCAAGAGTTGGCGGTCCTGAATAATGACTCGTCAAAGATCGACTGTAGTCGGCGCTGGTCGTTCGTCATGTTCGATGCGTTGTGTTATTGACGACACGGGGGAGAACCAGCGGTGATCCTGTTGGAGTCCGGGGGATACGTCGGAGGGAGGCACGTACTAAATGGGGCTAAGGCCCGATGGTCACACTCAGGAAATTCAAAATGACTAATTGTCAGACTAGTTGGTGTAGCAGGTGAGCGCAAGTTCTTTGCGTGTGTTTGTATTCGTATGTGCGTCGTTGTCGTTGGGAGCAGGTGCCGACGTTTCTCTCGCCTTTGGTTTCAGCTTCGTCAATTTCAGGTGACGTGCGTTTCAATTATATATCTCGAGCGGTTCGAAATGAAAATTCGCGTCCGTCGAAACGTCATTGACAACTGAGGTGAAAATAATCGAGAAATAGTGACGCTCGGGTTTGATAAAAATGAATTTTTGCCGATCGCTGAGTGCTTTGTCGACAACGAGTCGCTGTTGTGTCTTATCGTCGTCCGTCGCGAGCGAGTGTCCTCACATAAACAAGCCCGGTTTCCCTATAACTTGGACGGGTGACGAAGAACGCGTTTGGAAAATCGAAAATTTGGAAAATCATGCGAGTCCCGCATTTTGGATGACGAATATTTAGTATCGTCGCACGTAGATTAATTACGTTCGTTCGAAAAACATACGTCCTCCACCGTATGCTTATATATACGTGTGTGTGTGTGTGTGTATGTGTACGTGTACGTGTACGTGTACTGCTTGCTCGGTTAGTTAGTCGCTCCTATGATTTCCCCTCTTCGTCTCTCCTATTTAATGGTAAGCACACATTCACTCGCACGGGTGAAGTGATGCATAGAAAATCTCGGACGAGACGCGCGCGACACGTGTCTTTGTGTTGAGGGTATGTCGATATATAGCCGCCGCGGCAACAGGAGATATATACACGGGGTTGCACGTGTGTGCGTGCGCGCGTCAGGTGCACTATCGCGCATCGTATCTTTCCCTGCGGCCCCGATATACACCTTTGCTACAAGCAACGACAACGACGACATACATACACCACCGTATATAGTAGCCATAATGTCATCCCGAAGGCTGCTTCTTAGTAATTCACAAAGGGTTCGCTCTTCCGTGAAGTACGTATACACCTTTCCAGGCGATACCTGCCGCGTCGTACTTCGCCGCTAGCATACGAGGACGAGCGCCTGTGTTGGTAGATGTTGATAATCTGGTCTTCTGTGTGTCCCACTCTCTCTCTCTCTCTCCATCTCTTTATCTCTGTCTCTTCTTATACTCACGACGCCCTGAGCTCCACCACGAAGAACCATGGCTTCTGGTGCATCCTCTTTGGATAGTGCTGGGAGTAGCGGTGAGTGACAATTTTTATTTTCGACTTGTATAAAAAGAATAGCTTTAAGCAGGCGTTCGCTCGATAATGCTCTCTCCGCCGCTTACCAACGTCAGCGCGTCATTGTATTTTTAATTGCGACGTCAGGACGATGCATTGTCGACGTTGTCACCGCCGCGGAAATTTTTATCGGAAAACTAAACTTAAAAAAAAAAAAACAATCGCAGAGTTTCTCCTTGAAACAAAAAAATTTTTATTGTAACTTATATAAACGTTAGCGATTTTATTCCTCTATTGTTTAATTATATTTATTGTTTATTGTATATACAACGCACGCGTGTTTTATTTATATATATTAGTAATTAGAATTATATATGTATATGGTATTATAATTCTATGGGTGTATTATATGCTTCACATGTAATTCAGGTTCTAACGCGGGCATTGAATTGCAAAATGATTGCTTTGATAGCAAGAAAAGTTTATCTCAATAAGAATAAAATAAGAAATTGTACGATAAGAGAGATAATGTGAACACACACAGAGAAGCGTTATGTCATATAACTTTAAACATTGTTGATGTTCTGGTTTGCTGAGAAAAAGAATGAATCACTATATGCTTACATGCGTGACCTAGAGTTTCTTTCCTGGTGAAAGCTAGTGAGACCTCAGATTATGTTGTTCTATCTACTGTAACAAGTAATTCTTAAACTTTTTTTTTTAAATTGTGCATTGTGAAATTTTCAACATACACAGGAGCGTTTATGCTTTTACACATAAGGTTGCATCAATAATGCCTCAATAATATCTCAACAACAAAAGATGCAACTTTATGGTGTAAAAGCATTAACTTTACCGCCTGTGCCAATCTGTGCAATATGTTTATTAGGTTTATTTGTGTTCTATCCTATGTTTATATCTGTATTATTTTTGTCTTCTCTTTTGTGCGTATATATATGTTTTAAAGTAATACAGGTTTTTATAATTAATTTTCCAGATGGCGCACTTAATGTGGGTAAGACTTATTTTTAAATAAAAATTTTATAAAAATACACGCGCGCGTATATAGACACATTTATGTATGTCATTTTTTCAATGAACTCTCAAATACAAAAGTTTTTATACCCAGTATTGTACACTCGTAGTAACGCTTGAGAAAAGATTCCGCTAAAAAGTTAGCAATCTATATTCATTTACCATATTCATTTACTCATACACGTACACATGTGTATGTGTATGTGTAACATTGTTTTAAATATTTTTAAATATATTTTTGTATTTCTTATTTTATTTCTTTTATTTTTATTTCTTATTGCGCAAATCCATAAAAACAAAAACTTTTATGCTTTTACACAAATACACATTTTACGTTTTACATTGGGTTACATCAATTTATGTTCTGAACGTGTTTGCTGTTGGAATTGACACTTGCGTGTGGCATAAAACCAGAGGCGGATAGCGAAAGCTATGGCAGTGTCGGAAGTCCGGGTAGTAATCCCGAGCGTCGTAGCGACTATGATGGTTTACAGGCTCAATGTGATCAGGCAATTCATCAGCTTCAGCTACTTAGGCATAAGCACTCCGATACCATGAGACGGTTTGTTTTGATTTTGATTTTGTTTTACTTCTCGCTCTCTCTCTCTCTTTCTCTCTGCTTGATTCTTTCTTCATTTTCTTTCACTTTAGTTTTTCTCAGTTCATTTTTTGTTTTTTTTTTGCTTTAACATGTCAGTTTTCAGTTACGTATATTTTTTTATATCTCACATTTCGTTTTTCATGCTTATAACACTTCGCTTTCAGGATAATTATAATCCAAGAGCGTAAAAGAGGTTTGTGCACAAACAGGTGTGAGCATATGAAGGAATTGGAATACTATCGCGCTCAACATATAGCAGTCATGAGTCAACTGGAAGCGACATCACAAGAAAGCTCTACACTACGGGCAAAATATGGCGATCTGGCGAACGACAAGCAACGACTCGATCGGGAAGTCCAGACACTTCAGAAAGAATTGTCCGAACTTCGATTACAAAACCAAGAGGTTCTCGTTTCCGAAGCCACGGGCAGCGATGCTATGAATCAACATTATTTATCAGCGTTGCGCAAGTACGAAGCTATTAAGGACGATTACGATTCCCTTAGGAAACGATACGACGATTTGATATCGTCTCACTCTTCCGCCGTAAATAAAGTAAGTAATTAAAAGTGTGTTATTGTTTTTTACACGTTGCTCAAATTATAAAAGTTTGTAATGTGATATGGGGAAATTCACACAAAATTTCATGTTTAATCAAATTATAGCTAGAGTTATCGCAAGAGGAAACTAAGAGACTCAGATCGCAGTACGAGAGCGCCGTGACCGAACGTAACGAGGCAATTCGCGAGCGCAACGGTCTGAAGCAGCAGTGCACAGCCGCGATTCGCCAGTGGGATATCTCTCTCAGGGAGAGAAACGAATATCGCGAGGCGCTCGTCAAGCTGCAGCAGCAGCATGAGGACGCGGTGAAGGAGATTAATCAGGCGATGGTATTGCGTATGAAAGCTAGCAAGGATATGAAACGATTGACGGAAGAACGGAACGCCGCTCTTCAAGAATACAGTTTAATCATGGGTGAACGAGACACGGTACACAAAGAAATTGAAAAGCTAGGCGACGATCTCACGCAAGCGTATGCGAAGATCACGCTTTTAGAAACTCAAAATAAGCAGCTCATCGAAGAGGTAATAAAAGAAAAATAAAAAGTATTGTGTTTTTGCTTTGTTGGAATATTTTTTATTTTTATTTGTTTCGGTCTTGTTTAAGATCGATTGTATTACTTATTTGCAGAAAAAAACGTTGACTTATCAAATTGAGACTTTGAAAAGAGAGATCGCATCAGCTTTGCAAGACAGGGATGAGGCCCTGAAGACGTGCAATGAGTTGCAACAAAAATTAGGCGGTTACTCTGATAGCTCTAGCAGAGATTACAAGCATCGCTTAGAACTAAATTCGCTCAGTCGTGAACGCGATAACGTCAGCAAGGAAGCGGAAAAGGAAACTAATCCGAGAGACTACACGACACGAGACAAACAACGTATGGATAATTTAGAACAAGCAAATATTGAATTGGACAAATTGAGAAAATCAGTGGATACGCTGCAGACAGAACTTGAAGAAGCGATTCAGGAGGCTGAAGTGTCAAAGAGAAGAAGAGACTGGGCCTTTAGCGAGCGTGATAAGATAGTACTGGAGCGAGAGAGTATAAGAACTCTGTGCGACAGACTGCGGAAAGAACGCGATCGCGCGGTCTCCGAATTGGCCAATGCTCTACGCGACTCCGATGACATTAAGAAACAACGAAACGAGGCGTCGAAAGAACTGAAAGACTTGAAAGAGAAAATCGAATTCGGCGATCACGCGTTGCGTACCACTCAGGTGGCACAGATCGACGAAAGCAACGATTGGGAGATCATTCCGATTCATATAGATTCCAGCAGAATTTGTTTGGATTTAGACCGTGGCGATCTGGGATTTATTCTTGTCGGCGGCCGCGACAGTCCGTATTATCCGAATGACACCGGTGTCTACGTCGCACAGGTGACACAAGGTAGCGCTTTTGATGGCAAACTGAGAGTAAACGACTGTATCGTGCGAGTGAACAACGTCGACTGCACATCCGTGCCAACGCGCGTTATTTTAGAGACTCTTCGCAATTCTAATGTAAATCCGGCAACTCTGCTTGTAAAGCGACGTCGAATAACTAGACGTTCATTGAGAACCACGCAGCTAGCGGTTGGTACGGTACCGCATGGTATCACTCTAGAACTCGGAATCTATATTTCGAAGATATCGCCCGGAAGCCTGGCTGCTAAAGACGGCAACTTAGCTGTGGGAGACAGAGTATTAAACGTAAGTTGTGTGATAATTTGATATAAATCTACATACACATTTAATGCGTTCTATTGTTTATAATATATAATATTTACTGTGTGTATACTATCTTTCAAAATTCACTTACAGATTAATAGTAAACCGATGGATACCGTAACCACCGCGCATGAAGCAATGACCATCTTGAACGACACTACCGTTGATGTGTTAACAATCACGACGTTGAAGGGTATTCCAGTGCCTTCCGCGTCCAGTTCGGAGACGATGATGATAGATGGCAGCTTTGCTAAGGGAAAACAAGAAATGGTAAACAGCTGCTCGCAAACTGAGCAGGAAAGAATGATGTTGAAAGCCTCGTCAGATGACTATGAGAGGCGATATCTAAACTCGACAAACTTTGATCGAAACGTTTACAAAGCCTCGAAATCTGTGAGCGGCGAAAAATCGAGCGGCATTAGTAACGCTTGGGACAACTTCCGGGAGAAGATCGATATAGTGCGAGGTCGCAAGTCTAGCAAGGAGCGCGACGACAGCAAGAAGAAGGGTCACCGCAATTCCAGTCCGAACACTTTCGAGCAAGAACAGGATGCGATAGCGGAGCTGGACTCAGTGATCGACTCTGTGAGCTACCACAAGAAGCCGAGCAATAGCAACAATGGTGTGGCAAAGCGGAGCAAGCGTCGCGGGAGCGAGAAAATTGAGAAGAACGGTGGCACGTGGCCGAAGGCGCGCGGCGGACCCCTCATACAAAACGGGACCGGTACTATATTGCACCCGCGCAAGTCAAAAGAACGTTTTCCCCTCAGTATACTCCTGCATCCACCAAAATACGATAATCATAATTACAATCGTATTTCTAATCCCATTCCCTTGACCAACTTTTCTAATGTTAATAACCGTCATACCGTAGCAGTGGAGACGCCGCTACCAAGTTTCACCAAGAATGGCCAGCTCTTTAATCAGAAGTCGTCGTTTGCGCCATCGGTCCAGTTCAAGGATAACGCGATCGACAACAGCAGCAAGAAGCCGTCAACGGAGTTCGAGAGCAGCGTGTCAGATACCGGGCGACTGAGTTCCGCGCTGGCGCCGTCCGAGACTAGTATCGACATCTCGGTAAAGTCCGGCGGCGTTAGCCGCGATCTTGACACATTTTTTGGAAGCAAACGACCGCAAAAATACACCGGCGGAAGCAGCGACACGCAGGTCACTACAGACACCTTGCAACACAATCGTGCGCACTCACAACTATATTCGTCGGGTATTGGCGGCTCGTCTACGTCTGCCGTGTCATCGACTAGCGGTCAGACATCACGTCAGCAGATAGCTCCCGGTAACTTTTCGTTTCCTCCGCATCATCCGCACGCTGTGTCGTCACACCCACATTATCTACATCCCCATCTCGCGCACCAGAACTCCTTGTCCTCGCGCTATCCCTCGCCGCCGTCACTGCCGACTGCGTTGTCAGGCGAATCGATAGGCCTACCTGACGCACGTACCTACTGTTTTGAACCCCCGTACAGCCCTGGACTCTCGCAAACAGCCACGGCCACCTACAGCCACCTGCACACTCCCTCTGTAGATTATCACTATCACAAGTCTCGTGTTCCGGTCGTGATCTGCGACGCAACCGTCTACGCACATGGTTACGAAGGCGGCACGTTGCCAGGCCGGAAGGAAGATCAGCGGATTCGTATACCGTCCAACACCAGCGTCACATCCAAGAGCAGCGTCGGCAAACTTTCCACCGGTAGCATAGAAAGAACTTCCGAGCGAGGCAGTCCGATGCCATCGTTTCATGTGGAAGTGTTGAGTCCAGGTACCAGTAGCACTGGAAGCACTGTGAAAGAAAACAATATCAGCAATAAACGCGCCAGCATGCCGGACTATTGTTACTCACAACCGCGACCCGCACCCGGGGAACTGCGTAGAGTGCACATCGATAAATCCGTCGAGCCACTGGGCATACAAATCTCGTGTCTAGAAAGTGGCGGTGTGTTCGTGTCTACAGTACATGAACACAGTTTGGCGTCGCAGGTCGGTTTACAGATTGGTGACCAATTGTTAGAGATTTGCGGTATCAATATGCGAAGCGCGACCTATCAACTAGCAGCTAGTGTTCTACGTCAATGCGGTAGCTCGATTACGATGTTAGTGCAGTACAGTCCGGACAGTAAGTATTGTCTTTTGCATAGTCTTCTATGAACTTCTACTGTCATAGTCTTCTATCTGCATAGTCTTCTACGAACCAGTTCTCCAATGTGATAAAGGTACAATTAAAATTTTCAGCACGATTTTCATGTACATGACATGACGTGCCCTTTCTCTCAGTTTTCGTTTTCTTTTATATCTTGGTATAAATCACACTTTTCTATCTTGGTATAATTTAAGAAATTTCTTATCTTTTAAGGGTATATTGGAGTCATACAGACATACCTGGTAGGATGATAAGACATTTTTCCTATTTTTCAGAAAAAATATTAAACAGCATTATTACATTTGTAATCAGAATTACTGTTTTTCGGTACAGAGCAAGTTTTTTTGAAAAATAAAATTAAAAAAAGTTATTAATTTACAGCATCTCTGATCGAACGCACATCACACTATAAATTCAATTTTAGTTTACTAAAACTTTGTGAAAGTTAAAAAATGCAGAATTTGGCTCTATAAAAAAATAAATATAATATAAAGAATGGGATAAAACAAAGCTATTAAAGATATGTTGCTTCTCTGAGTCAGAAAATAGAAAAAAAAATGGTATGAGTGTGTCTGTGTGCGTCTATATGTGCGTGTGTAGTAAATATGCACACACAAGTATATTGTACGTAAATGTACATCGTATGAAAGGAAGATATGGCTTTTTCTTAGGCTAAGAGAGCCTAAACAATCCAGGTCTTCAAGATCAAAATCTGAGTTCGCCACTCGTCACTCCGGTATATCCTTGAAAGTATCTCCCGAACTAACTCTATGTAATACACATAAACTAAAGAAATTTTTCTGGCTCTGTTTAGGATTCAAGAAGAAATATAATATTTTACTATTATATAAAAGTAAATTTATGGAACTTTAACGGTAACGGTTTTCTTTGTAAGAATACACCGAGTTAGAGGGTTCGGCGTCATCGAGTGCTCCATCGGAAGCTGGCGATGGCGCCGCGACCGGAAGTCGTAGTGGTTCACCAACGCCGTGCAATAGTCCGGAAGCATTGCGAAAGAGCACGGTAGAAACGTTAGAACCTGTTGAACCGGAACGCGACACTACCATCACTATTAGTACAGCAGCTCCTACCGTTACTACTACCGCTGCACCTATCATGAGCACTTTACGGGTCGAACGGGATATGCGGCCGTCCGCTTCACTAGAAGTGAGAAGCACGCAGGAGCGGCAACGCGAGATGAGGCCGTCCGCGTCGTTGGACATCAACATTCGTAAGCCGGAACTTCGCAGCGCTGCCACGTTGGATCGACTAACCCGCGCGCAGATGCAACGTCAGAACGCGATGAGAAGCCCAACTCAAGAGGAGCAAAACAAAAAGCCACCGCCGAGCAACGAACCTAGGATCTTGCTGATCGAAACTAGGAAATGTTCGAATCTCGGTATCTCTCTTGTGGGCGGCAACGGCGTCGGTATTTTCGTCCATTCCGTTCAGCCGGGATGTCTCGCCGAGGAGGCTGGTTTGTTTACTGGCGACCGTATTCTTGAATATAATGGAACTGATTTGAGACAGGCGACTGCCGAACAAGCCGCTCTCGAGTTGGCTCGGCCGGTGGACAAAGTAACGCTTGTCGCCCAATATATGCCTGAGCGATATAACGAAGTAAAGGACAAGCCAGGTGACAGTTTCTATGTGAAAGCGTTGTTTGACAGAACGGGCGAAGTGGGTGACAGTTTGCAGCTGAGATTCAACAAAGATGACATTCTTTATGTGGATAATACCATGTTCAACGGTACGCCGGGCCACTGGCGCGCTTGGATAGTCGATCAAACCGGACGTAGACAGACTTGTGGAATAATTCCCAGCAAATACAAGTGAGTTTTCGATCAAGATAGTGGCTTTTAAAAAAATATTGAACACCAAGTGGCGGGACTTACGTTATTTTAAAATACGTTGTGATAGAATACAATTGTGTGCGTTTTTATAAACCGGGATATGGACATAAAACTGGTAGGATATACATACGTTTGGATAGAATACATTGGCTAATTTGTGTGCGTTTTAAAGCAGAATATTGGACACAAAATTGACAGAACGTACGTAATTTTGGATGAATTGGCAAAACAAAATTTGTCTTAAAAAGGTATGTGAAATATTGGATGAAATATCTAAATTGGTCTAAAATACCTTTCTCTTGCAACAACACATATAATACACAAAACCGAATATAAACAAAACCAGTAGGCAAAATTAGAATAATATCAGTTTTATAAAAATATTCACGATTCAGGATGCTGGCTTAACAGATTCTTATTTTAATTAATTTATAATTTGAATCAAGATAATGGATATATTACTATCTTATTTGTAGAGTTGAGGAAGAGTTACTTCTACGACGATCTCTGGGCGATTTAGAGCAAGATACTGGCAGACGCAGTAATACTAGTGCTAGAAGAAGCTTTTTCCGTCGAAAAAAGCAGCAGCAACGATCGTCTAGCAGTAGAGATAGCAAGGAACTGTCACATCTGACTGGGGTCAACCTAGGATGGTACAGTGATAGTGGAACGTTGAACGAAGATAGTCTTCCAGCGAGTTACCAGCGCGTTGAAAGACTCGATTGTAAGTATAGCCGAGACATTTTTTGATATTACCGTAATATCTTTTTTAATATCATTAAACTAGGTTTTTAACAGTATACTAATTTTTGCAATATTATTTACTGAATATGAGTATCTTGTTAGATATTCAATTTTTTTAATAATAATTGTTTATTTTCAATAACAGATCCCACTCTGAGACCTGTGCTAATTATCGGTCCGCTCAGTGAAAGCGTGGTGACTAGGCTTCTGCAAGAATATCCGAAACAGTTTACCAGATGTCTCGTGGAAGCGATGCACTGTTCCCAGTCGACTTTGGAGCAAGGTTTACGCGATATGCTTTACGTGGATTATAGAAAAAAAGGCAGCTACTTTGAGTGCACCACAGTGCAGGCTGTTAAAGATGGGTGTGACAAGGTATATTTGATGATAAACAATTAATATATATATATATATATAAATACTGTACAACAAAAACACAGTAATTAATATGATTTGTTACTGATGTCATCTGTGTGCGCGAGTATATATTAAATAAATCTAAATTATGTAAAATATGTTATATGTTTCAGAACACGCATTGTATTTTGGATGTGTCGATTGCTTCCATTGAGAGGCTTCACAAACATCAAATTTATCCTATCGTTCTTTTACTTAAATTTAAAGACCGGGCACAGATAAAAGAGGTGAAAGATTCCAGATATCCAAGTGACAAAATTGGTACAAAGGCGGCAAAAGAGATGTTCGAGCAAGCGCTCAAAATAGAAGCAGAATATAAGCACTACATCTCTGGTAAGTGTAAATTTATTTGAAATTAAAAATATATTAAAGGAACAATCAAGAGATACACACGTTAATGCATCAATTTATAAATTGCGATAATGAATTTATACAGATCGCGTTTGGTGTGTAATATCGTAATGTTAATAGGGGGGTATAAAATCATGCAAATGTTTATTTGCGTTTTAATAACATTTCAGCTATAATTCCGGCGGGCGTGAATATAGCATATATATGCACGCAGGTGAAAGCTTCTGTAGATGAAGAACAAAGCAAAGCGCTGTGGGTACCTAGAGGGGGGACCTGACAAAGAAGGGGGGGTCCCCACAAACCGCAGTGGAAGTCAATCTAAATTCCACCAGGGGGCCCTTACGTCGCGCGTATACGCAAAAAATTACTATACAAAATCGATTCTTTTATTTATGGTCTCTTGATTTCCGATAGAGGATGCGACATAAATATGCGTATTCTCCATTTAACGAAAGATCACCACTTCCTATCATTGCTAATCGCTCAATTTGGTTGTGATAATACGAATTTTTGCAGTCCAGTTTTATTTTAGTGCATTTAGCTCGTTGAGTCATCGCGATATAAAACAGGTACGTATACAGATTTCCGTCGCGTTTTTTGTTTCAGTTGCTTTTTGAAAACTGAATTATTTCGAAGTTACGCAGGTTTCTATCAGACTATCCGTATCGGTATGTCTATATATAGCTCATCTGTGATCAATATATAAATTTATCTATAGAAACTATATATATATATCAATTTTTATATACGTATAACTGTAAACGAAAAAATTCATATTGAAAGATTAATCAACTTCGTGCATTTTTGACTTTCTTGATATAAACAAATCACATATAATCAGCAATATCAATAAAAGTATGAAATTGGTGCTTGCTCTGTATGAAGTACTTTTACTGGTATTCATTGACTGCAATTAACAAGCAGCTCGCGTCTGCAATCAACTCACTTCGATTATATGTGTTAATCAAATAAACAATACAACGGGAAATGCAGCTAAAGTTTATGAAACCAATAATATTCGTACGAGACCATAAGAGAATCAGCTAAAAAAAAAAAAAAAAAAGAACATTTTTGTATTATGGCCCGTTAGAAAATTGGTGGATTAATATTGACGACCTGTTACTTAGCCACTTTCTGCGGCTCTTACTAATTAACCTCTCAAACCAAACTGATGTACAGAAAAATAAAAATCGATGAAAAAAGAAAACCAATTATTTTGCGTAAGTAGAGAATTCTATACACAGAAAAAGTTATACGTTAAAGAGAAAAAAGGCTACTTATTTGTATATAAATTGATTTACACACAAAGTTTAGATGTAAAAGTAATTTTTAAGTTTTATAATTTAAGGTTTGTATATTTATATATATATATATATAATTTTTATTATGATTTTTATAAATATAATTCTGTAATATATACGTTAGTATGCATATGTCGTATGCGAAGCAGAGGTTTGAGGGGTTAAAAAATTATTGAATTAAGGAATTGATAAAAAAAGTGTCAAGCAGAAAAGATGGAATTGACACACGCAATACTCCGTTCCTGTTTACCGAATTGTAAATATCGGATAATATTTGTAAAGGAGTGCGCTTAGATTCCGGAGAATCACCGGAGAAACTCGCACATTTCTATCTTAAATGATTTAAAGTGATAATTAATCGAAAAAAATATAATTTTTCATACGATTACTATTTTTCTGTTAAATGAAAGATCGGAGTTTTCGCGAATGTCTACGTCTACGTTGTTCTTAAACGAGCTTATATATAGGCGTTTCATACGGTGCGGTTATGCCGAGTTCAACTTATACTCTTAAAAAAACAACAAAAAAAAAAAAAACGTGTTTATGAAGAAAATCCGCAAGTATCAAGATGAGCGGATAATATGTTTACACACGTTCTCTTTTGTGTAATATTCTTTGTAAATACAATTTTTCTACAGTATCGAGAGATATATAATTTAGAAGATATTTTTTAAATCGATGTAATTTATACAGTATCGTTTAGTACGTATAAGTTAACCGTATCTGTACCTGAACCATGGTTTTTTCATAATTTGATACATACAATTAGAAGATGATCGTTCATAAAAGCGCTTATAACTTTTTTATTCAGATAACTAAGGAAACATACGAAATGTACTTCTACTGTAAAACTCGATATGATGCTTTTTCTTCTTTTCGCAAATTCTTCCGCAAAAAAAAAAAAAAAAATATCAGCTGATCGTGAATCATTTTACGACGCAATTAGATGACAGAGAGTCCGGTACTTGTGATAATACAAAACAATCATTTGTGCGAACAAGTGCGATGATGCGACTTGTTTACAGAATATCCGTCACGAATCATGTAACGAAAGAGTGAGAACAAAGAAATACAGAAAAAAAAAAACGCAAAGCTAACTTGTTGGTTTCACATGAAATTTTGTTTTCCAACGAGACAATATTTAGATATAAGTTAGAAGCGCGAGACCAAAACCTAGGGAAATATTAACTTGTAAGAAATATACGATCAAATTTAACAGCGTGGCGCCTTTTAACACAGTGCACGATAGATATACTTCTTGATATATTCAAGAGTATGAGAAAAATTTGCTCTGTGCTATCAATGTGTTTTTTTTCAAAAAAATATATTTGCGACGTGCTAAAGTGTACTTGTCTGTTTACATATGTATAGGGACCAAATATTGGTTGGTGGTTTTGGAATAATAAAAAGAAAGAAGAAAAAGAATCAGAGTTTATATTGTGAACATACATAGGGGAAACATTTGAGAAAGACGGGTAATGTAGACGTGAAAAAAAAACGTGTAAAGTCATCAACAGACAATTTGCAAGAAAATAATTTTGTTGAAAAATTACAAAATTTTTATGTTCATATTTAACTTTATTCTTTTAAATCGAGATCGAAATAAATCTTTAATATATTCTTGTGCATTTTTTCGAATAAATGTTTGTCGCACGGCGAAAACAAAATTTCAGTAAATAAGGAGAGTCTTTTCGAAAAAGTGAAAATATCCACTTGCACATAGAGAACGAGAAGATAAGCAACAAAGAGATTGATGCTATTGCAATTACTTTCTTAATCACAGTACTGTGATACGCATAGTATATTACTCCTTCGATGACATATCAACAATCCTTTTACATATGTTATACATGATAATATGAAACACATATTTTGGGCAATACTCTTATACATTTAGATATGTACGTTATATATATAAATATATATATAAAAATACGTATAACAAAGCACTTTCACTATATTTCATTGTAAGCACGTGATTAAACAAAAAGTTAACGGAATAGATATATCGATATAAAAGAAAAATATTTCGTCAGAGCCAAGTTTGAGTCGAACTTTTCAATATAAATCATATAATAATCTGAAACTCTAATTATTCAGTATAAAACATAATAATCAATTTCAGATCATAAATTTATAATAATCTGAAACTACTTACGTTTCTCACACATAGAAATATATATACATATATAGATACAAATGTTATTTATTTGAATCTGAAGCTTTTTACAGTCGTTATATTTGATTATATCCGATTGTCTGTTCATGTTCTATGCGTATTTATTCCAAATTACTTGATAGAAAGCTAGATTTCCCTTTTGTGAATTCCGTTCCGAGCGACAATTTTCGTTAGTATTATTCGCTGTTTTTTACACACTGATCGTCCGGTATACGATAAATAGTAATCAGAACTGTTTATTGCCGTTTTTGCTAGCGTCTCTATTTCTCCGCCGTGTTATCTATATCCGTCACGTCAGTTTGTAATATTAACTTTGTATCTACATTTGATATACCGTAAATGGGGAAAATGATACACGTGACTTTCTCTTTTCTCTATCCTTGTACGAGTATGTGTGTGTATATATACATATATATATACATAAACACATCAAATTGCAAAAATTATTTAACAGTTACATATTTGCAATGCTACAAGTTTATTAAATATTTTTATTTTTATTAAATATTGTTTTCATACACCTAGCAAACTATGATAATTATATTTATAATAATTATTTAATATTTATAATAATTACAAAAAAATTTTCTAACACACACGCAAAAATACAAAAAAGTAAGTTGTGAGGAGCAAAATTAAATAGTATTATTTTTTAAAATCAGTATTTGAAGTTAAGAAGGAAACGTGAAAAAGTGAGCTGTTTTAATATGAAAGTGAGTGTAACATTTAATCGATTGACGGGTCCTTATGCTAAGTGAAGATACTTGTTCGTAGTTTAAAGTGTGATATTAATCAATGCATAATCCGAAAATATATATTAACACATATTAAACATGCTCGTAGTTTCTGTAATGAAACTGTTCTCCGTTAATATGAAGAGTTTCACGACTATGAAATAACTCGATTATTAATCGGATATGCAGGGTGCGTTTATTTCTCACATCGACATAATTGTCCTTCTTTGGACATTATGAGTATTGTGAACCGATGACAGAGATACTCGCATAGTTAAGAAGAAGATACTCCATACATCATTACTTTTGCAGGCAAAAGTAACAAGAGATGAAGCAAATATGCCTTTACAGCTGCACGTGAAGAGAAAACTTGGAATTTTGAAATTATTAAAGAAAATTAATTTATAGTTTTTTAAGTGTTGTTTATATATATACTTAATAATTTAGAAACTCTTGAAGCTTTACTTCGTTCTTTTTTAGAAGCAACTTATAATTGCTTCGTGTCAAATCTCTTCTAGTTAAATTCTATATCTTCATTTTTTTGTCGAAAAAAAAATCAAGCTGAACTTCTCTTTTCACATGCATGTCTGTTTTAATAGAAAATGATATATTAGTGATGGAAGAAAAGAAGTACGCAGACGATTAACTGAGTGTACTTTTGTTTGCAAAAACATTCTGCTCCAGTTAGCCTGAAAATGATAGGGGGAAGCGGTTCGTGCTAAATAAAATATTATAAATTCGCGTTTTACTGGAAATTAATAAAAGAAAGCAATTCGAGAAACGATTCGATAGCAATAATAAAACTAAAAATCGCTGCCATAAAAGATGTTGTTGATTAATATAAAACGCATTTTTGTCGACTTTATTATTAAATAGACAAAATAAAATTGCGAAGAACTGCTCATATCGTGGAATTGGATGACGAGTTCATCGTTCCTGCTAATATATAAAGATTGTTATTTGATGATCGATGTTGCACGTTTCACTGATAGTATAGTTATAGTTGACAACACATTATTGACACATTGTTGACAACATTATTCAGCTACAAGATTATACTACAAATAATAATTACGCGCAAGTTTTACAATTTAATATTGCAATTGAGATGTGTGAAAGATGTAGCTTTCTCTCTCTCTTTCTCTCCTTCTTGTAGCAGAAAAATTTGAAAAGTTGAAATTTAAGTTGAAACATTTATACGATAAAAAAAAACAGATTCGTCGCAGATAAATAGATACAATATTAAAAATTGAATACGAATGTGATTAAGTGATTTGTGAAAGTTTATAATAATTATATAATCAATTTTAATCAGAGAAAATTTCTTGAAATTTATATCAAGACTTTCAAATTTAAATAAATTTTTTCACGTTTTTATTTGATACAATTTTTGAAATCTTATCATTGGTCGAACGGCAACTCTTAGTTCTCAATAAGAAAAGATATAAGCCGGATAAGGCAGCAGTAATATACACAATATGTTGTATTAAAATAGAATTCATAAAAAAAAAGTGCAATAATCGGCACGCATCACACGATGTGTACGCGAACAAAGATTTGTGATCTGTGCCAAGAAATATAATGAACATATTTTTATACGAATTGGTATACAGAGTGGCGTAAACTATCGACAAAACTAGTGTTAGACTACAGTCTGGTTAAAAGTAAACTATCTTTGCCGGTGCAACAGCAAATTGAACATTTATACAATCGGGATATCATGTTTATATCTCGAGAATATATAGAGGTTTTACACTCTGAAAATGAAACGTCTTTTTTGTCGTTAGAATTGTATTAGAATCGCGTCTTCCTCTCTTTTTTGCTTCTTTTCTGCCATATGTATTTCCAAAACAAAAAGAAAAGGATGCGTGTTCTCTTCCATTTGTAAGAATCATGTCTCGGTTTGATATTTCTTTGTGAAGAGTTTTCTTTTTTTTTTTTATAGTCAATTTTATGACATCTTTTGTGTCTCGTACGTATAATGTAGAAGTTAGTTTTTATTTTAAACTTGATTGATTCTTTTCTTACTCTCGCGATTAAAATGTAATTTTTAACGTAAATTTAAAATTAGAATCGAATTAGTTAATTNTTTTTTTTTTTTTTTTTTTTTATTACTCACTAATGTGGTAATACATGTAATAATTAATATAATAAAAAGGATGAGTGAGGTATAAGGTACTTTTCGAAGACGTTTTATTTTCTTCTTCCTGCAATGGTTTTGATACCAAATGTTTTCACTGATATTTATATATAAGTATACTTATATCTCTACGCTCCGTATCGTTATTACAATAAATATGTGTACGTAAAATGTGCGTATATTCTAGAATATGCGTGAACGTACAAGATATCCTCGTATCGATTAGCTGCGGGACATTTTGTATGTGTGTCTATATATATATATTATGTACATATATATTACGACGGGATATGAATATGACACGTTTATAATACCGTGTACTGAATGTGCGACAAGGTATTATTGTTGAATTATATATTCAGCGCTATGCAAATGCCCAAAACAAAAAAAAAAATAAAAAACAAAAAAAAAACAAATGAAATATTAACGTTTTAAGAATCGTTACTGTTTGTGAAACCTTCTTCTTTGTAAGACGTACAACGTTTATCGAAAAGATATGTAAAGGAAGAAGAAATAAAGTCAAATTTAACGAGAAAAACGAGCACTGCTTTAGTAATCCCGATTCATAATAAGTAATTTGGTTTTTGTTTTTAGTTAATTAAATTAATTTTATTAATAAGACTTATAATTGTTAAGAAAACATAATTGCGCGTAAGATGCGAAGTAATGGATATAAGAAAACGAGTATTGTGGTTGTACAAAAATGGCGTATTTTATTCACGAGCCTTATCTGCTTGCAAGAGAATAATATCGAAGGTGTAAGTATTATGTTTTGTTGAAATAAAAATATTGTGTTTGTATACGCATTATAAATGACAAACTAGCGTTAAAATGTAAGTCTTTTTTTTTCTCGAAAAAAAAAGTTAACATTGGAGACGCTTTTTTGTTCACAAAATGACAAGTAATAATGCTCTATCGTGGCTTAATTTGCTAAGTGTGATATCAAATACCATATTTTAACATAAAAATACATATTGTGTATATATATATATATATATATATATAAAAGAATATAAAATAAATATATTTTCTCATAAATAATTCATAAATATATAAAATTTTTGCTTTTATATATATAAAGTTTCAAGTGCTTTTTTGATATAAATATAATATGGTTTTAAATAATTATAAATACATACTTGTTGATGTGATTCTTCAAGAAAGAGAAAGAACACTTGACATGAAAATTTAAGAGATATCAAATTTATGATCTCACAGAGATATTAGTAAATAGATGAATTAGCAATTATTTTTTATTAGAAAATTTTCATTTGTACTGTATCTCTGGATGGATTTCGTGTTTGATCGTATTTGTAAAAAAATAATAAGACTCAAAACAAGCAAAATGGGTCACCGTTATGATTGCGAAAAATAACCAGTAAAAACAGTCGAAATGTAATTAAGCAAGGATTGAAGCTAATCAATCAAGAAATAAAGATCAAAAAATTCTAATTGTAATTCAATTATTTTTATTGATTTTTTTGCTCAATCGGTGGCTTTCTTGCTAGTTTTGGATTTTATTACATAATTTTCGGACTCTCTCTCTTTTGTAATTCGAGCTCTCTTTGTCACATAGATACTTCATTTAACAGTTTGTCCTAACTTACGCATTGTGTTGTTTCGCAGTGTTGTCGGTTAACCAGTAGAATAATTGGATTACGCGTAACGGTCCCGCATTGGCGGTTGCACTTTGATTCGTCGCTTGTGCGAAGTACGCGGCGAACGCGAAGCCACTCGAAATTCAATCGGCAAGTCGTAGCAACGGCAAATGCAGCAGCTGGGAAATTTAAACCAGTCGCTGAATATACCGCGGCACTCGTTGTTCGGATCGTAAGCCAGCAGCCGATGCAGCCGATACTGCTGCTCACATCTGCATCCGTCTCGACAATGCATTTGTTTATTCTCATGTCTAGAATGGAATCGAAAATATATGAAGAAAAAAGGAAATAACTTGTTCGAAATGTAATTCACTTTATAAGATGTTCGCAAAAACACTCACGTGCATTTTTCCCAATGAACGTACTGCTCGAAGGGATAAAGATTCAGAAGAGCCAGCAATTCACCGCGAGTGTTGTTGGCCCAAAAAGGAGCGACGACCTCCTCTTTAACCGGACAAGCGTTTCTACAGTAAAAGTAAGAAACAATTTTTTACATAATTTATATTAGTGATATATTTCATGCGTTTATGATTTTGGGACACGCAAAATTGTAGTATTGCTTACACTCCTCGAAGTTTCAACACTGGTTGTTCCTCTGAAGCGGCGTCTTGATAAAGCTGTTCTCCGGTACCCGCCTCCGTGCTCGACGACGACGGCCGATTTTCCGGACGCGGCCTAAACTCTTCCTGTTGGTTAGACGCGGCGACCATCTCTTCGTGATCTTGAGATGTTTTTGACGCGCCAACCGCGTCCTCTTCCTCAGCTTCTTCCTCTTTTTCCTGATCAATTGGCAATTCCTTTGTCAAATTGGTTGGTATCGAAGTTGTATTTTCTTCAACTATCCTCGTGTCTTCCGATATTACTTCTGCAGATTCTTCAAGATTTTCGTCTATCCTGTCAATTTGGCCGGGAATCTCATTGATGCTGAAGTTCTGTTCTCTAACAATTTGTGCAACAGTGACGCTTGGTGACGCCTTTGTCGCGTTGTTCGCTTCTGTTGTCGTGTTATTCGCCGTAGAGTCGTCATTGACGATTTTGGCGGTGATGTTTGAAGGTTTTGAAAAGACAACGGGTTGTGTGCTAGCTTCTTCCGTGCTTGTGATAGTGGTGACGGACTCAGACGGCGTCGTCAAAGACGGAATCGACGTATCGGTGGGAGTAGCGGTGCTGATCGACGTCAAAGTCGAACAGGGTGAGGTCGAAGAGAAAATTGTCGTACTCGAGGCAGTTGAGCTGCTGACGGTTTTTTCAGTGGGTTTAAAGTGCGGTCTGGTGTACTCGCTGAGTTTCGAGAACTTGTTCAATCGCTTGGTAATGGGATCGTTGAGGGAGCGACTGGTGAATCCACGACCTTCGTACTCGTTCGGTCGAACGTCGTCGATAAACTCGTAATCGTCGTCATATTGAGATCGTCTGAAAATTTATGATAATATAAAAAGAAATAATCACAAGATGTGTAACTATGAAGTAATAGAGAAAAATAAACGAAATTTATAAAAAAAAAAAACTACCGTAGATCGTCAAAATATTGATGATACTCGTCGTATTTTAGTTCGATGTCATTCTTTTCGAATTCCGCTCGAAGAACGTTAAAGTAACTCTCATCGCCGTACATGCGCTTCATTAATCCCTGATTTTCGCGTACGAATCGACGCACCGCGTGCCTAGAAAAGTAGAAAACAATAAAATTGTACAGAATTAAAAGTCACACAATTTGACTTGTTGACAACCACATTAAATTGTAATGTTAGAGGTGCGAAAATTTATATGTACGCCAAAAAAAAAAAAAAAAAAAAAAAAAAAAAAAAAAAAAAAAAAAAAAGAGAACGGAAAGGAAAATCTACTTGTTTTCGAATTATCTCAATTTCGATTTCAAATAAGATCCGTTTGTGATCACTTCGATTCGTCTGCTTTTTAAACCGGTAGGTGGGACACCGAAACTTTCGCCGCGAGCATACAAATGTAAACTAGGCGGGCGAAAGTTGGAGAAGTAACAATCGCTCATAGGGATGAGAAGAGACCAAGCGCAAATAGACAAAGTACCACGGGTAAGAGCTACCGGCAATCGTGCACCAGCTCTGTCGGCGAAAGTCACACGGCAGATCCTCGTGGTATACGCGTCCTACGCGTGAGTACGGCTTGTTGCAGGCCGAGGACGCGTCGTATCCGAACGTGCTCGGCCCGCCTCCTTGACATCTCGTTAGCTCGAATGCTATCACCTGCAACACCGAAGAGTAATCGGGAATCTTATTCGCGAACAATTTTTTTTCTTTTTTTTTTTTTATATTAAAAACGAAATAGTATTAAAAACCAATGTGTATTTTTCGAGAACTGAATAATTCAAAATTTTTTAATTATTTGTTTCTTTGATTTTTAAATCAATCGTTCGCGGAGGAAAAGTCATATGCACTTTTTGGACGAACACTGTTTTTCCGAGATAAACTCACCTGAAAAAAGAAGAGCGCGGTGGCTCCCATAACTCGCGAATTTTCAACTCGCTGGTCCAGCGGATGGATGGACCGCCGCGGTTTCTTTGACAATCGACAAACTATATATTCAAAGGAACACCCTCACGAACACCCGCAACTCACGTTCACACGTCTACGCGCGAAGAACAACAACGACTGCACTGCGACAGCGGCAACGTCGTCGTTTTCATTGACGACTGCTGCGAGGATACGACGGCGGGGAAGTTACGTGAAGCTACATGTCAGACAAACGCGCACACGGCTATCTTGTTCACCGTGTGCAAGCAGGCCGCTTTCATTACTGCCCGTAATCAGCCGCGGCCTGGTGGCTATCGCCGTCCGCCCATGCGACGAAGCGACCCATACGATGTAGTTCTTTTCACATGGAAGAAAAAGTGTAGCCTGCCGGCGCGCACGGGAGAGAAGATTCTCCCGTATACGTGCGAGCGGCGGCGACGAACGAAGAGTCCACTAGGGAGAGACACGAAGAGGTGGACGAAGGAGGAAGACTGAGAGATCGCGACTTCGCCGAGAGAGTGGGTCACGCCGACGAGTACCGTTACAGTTGCCGTCGCTGATCTGTGTCACGAGGACCCTGCCAGTGACGTAGCCTTTGACGGTTACTCTTGAAGAAAATTTGATTTATCTAGACTGATAAAAATAAAGAGTCGCCCCTCGGCTAATCTTTACTCTCAACCCTTCAATTTCAAAGTGACACGTAAGAAGGAAGAAAAGCTCTCGGATGGAGTTGGCTTTTGCTGTTCAAGAATGCGGAAGAAGAAGCTTATACTTTATACAGCTTCTCGCCGAGAGAAGTGAAACGCGCAACTCGCGTAAAGGAAAATGACAGGAGACGAAACTGGATTCTCTTACTTTTCAAACGAGAAAGCAAACCTACGCCGTTGACCGCGAATTTACAAAAAACTGCTGAGATGGTGGCAAATGACGATTTAAGGTTTACAGCAGAGAGTCGCTCACGCGACGAATGTCCGCGCGATCCACTGACCTCAAAAGCACTGTCACTAGACACGGCTCTTTCACTGAATTTCCTCGCTTTTGAAGGCACCGCGATGTTACCCGTCCGAGCAGCTTCACCACGCCTCTTCGGCGTGTTTCGCTTTTGAATGTCGAAACGACGTGTAAGACGAAAATAAAAGATCGAGAGTAGATGATATACAGACTGGAAATTCTCTGGTTAGCAATTATAAGTTTTTCCCGCAGATGAGCCTAGAAAGTTCCAAGAGATTCGAGAGATTTCGTTTTCCTCCCCCCCCTCCCTTTTTTTTTTTTTTAAAGACGAAGCTAGGAAGAAACATGGTGTACTACCGCTCTCACAAATTTAATCAAAATTGACGTTGTTATAAGACGACGCTATAATTAGTGACCACGGTTAGAAACGATAGCAGCATTCCGTTAGATCGAATAGCATTGAATTATTGGAGCATCGTTTTACACGATTACTGGCAAGATATCAGTTTGCTCTGTGATATAGGTAAAAACATATACTTGCTAATAATACATATTACTTTATATATCTCTTTTCTCTTGTGATGGAAGATACTTTTTTATTACGACTAACAATAATTATTTTTTTCAAAAATGCTAAAAAAAATTCTACAACTGAAACATCTCGTGAAATTGTTGAAATAAAATTAAAGCCAAGTAAAAATTAAAACGGCAGCGTTTTTTAAGTAATGAAAAAAATTAATATAGCTTTATGATTGAATTCAATTCATATCTATTATTCATTGAATAACTTTATACAACAAGTAAATTAATACACACACATACATAATCGTGAAGATTTGAATAAAAATTAAATATTGAATAGTATCTCTATTATCTCGTGCCAATTATATTTCCACTCACAAATTTCTCAATCTAAATATCGATAACGAAGCCGTTTCGCATCGGCTGCTTTTGTAATAATGCTTATATAAATACATGAGAGAATTGAAATAGAGTGTTTGAAACAGAAGTCTTGTTCGAAGGAATTTTAACAACTTTTTTATACATTGAATGTGTATACGTATACATTTATTTATGTATGTATATATTTATTAAATAGATTTCTTATAATATATGTACAAAAATGTGTTTGACTGATTAAGTACAATTTGTGTTGAAAATTATGTATTAGAAATAATTTTTTAGTTAAAGATGAAGTCTTTAAATAACGTTTTGTTTTTGTAATTTAGAATAAAAATCATACAAAAGAGAACACACATTTCATCTCTTATTTTTATTTTATGTATATTACCATGCAAAAAATAAAAAATCTCTATTCAAATACTTTCTTAAATATTCAAGTATATACAAATATTTTGCAACACATTACGATACAATGACATGTACACATATTTTTCCATATTTTTGATGTACTAGCAATGTTAACAATTTGTTAACATTGCTTCAAATCATGTATTTATCATTTTTTATGATACTTAAACTATACAATTTACCCGCTTTTATGTGATGAATTGTTTTTTTGTACTATACATCACAAGAATGATATTTCTAATATACAATTAACCATACAATTAAAAATGTATTAGAACAGTAAAAATATTAAATATAAGAAAACATATCAGTGAAGTATCAGAAATGTTTTTAGAAAAAAAGAATTTGTATAAGCTATACATAGAATAAATAATAGCTACATTTATATGTACACTTCTGAGAAGAAAAATGTAAAATTTTCTTATAAACTAAATTTTCGAAATTAAAAGGTATGTTAATTGTCCTATACTTGGCTTCAAGTTCTTTTAGCCTTTGTACAAACAATTACTTTAATGATATGTGCATCTGTAAAATGTCTTATATCTAACAAAGATATTATGCACTTATATATATATATCCTATACATATATATTTTTACTTCACACGATTCCATTGACTATTAACAAATACAAAAATTTACAAATTAGGTAACAAAAAACTTTCAGTTGTAGCAATCTTTCAATGAAGGTCCTATATATTCTACATTCAACGAATAGAAGTCTGATGGACTTTCTGTGACAGTTAATTGAACTTCTTCGATCACATCAGATTCATCTGTACACACTTTGGACTGAACAGGCTTGAAGAAAGTACATGGCCTTGGTCCTCTACCAAAATCATCCACATCATATGGTGGACTGAGTATATCTAGAAAAGCTGCTGGACCTTCGACACACAAGATCTCATGGAGATTTTTCTCCGCTGGTGTGAGAATACAGGCAGGTGAATCACAGTGAAGGGAAATTGGTCGATGTCTTAATGCTGCAATCTCACTCCCTTTAGTTATATGATCCCTCTTTGTTTTTAAGCTATAGCTATTTAATTCCACTATTCCACTGATTACCTGTAGCACACGTGCAATTGATTTATGTTTTAATTGTTACTATATAACATATAGTACTTAAAAAACACACGAACAAGTTCACCTTTAATAAACCATACATTCCAGGATGGTCGTGCATAGGCATAGTGACACCGTGTTTCAATATAAAAATTGCTATTGTTATATCCTTGTTTTCGAATATGTCCATTACGTACATAGGAGCGGACTGTCTGTTAATAGACTCGAGAACAGTTTTATCGAGTTTCACGTCCTCGGCGGTTATTTTGTTCATAAGATTCCATAGTTTGTCCAAATTCTTCTGACAAAGTCGAACGTTCCTGCAGTCACCAAACGTTCTCAGTGCCTGCTTCGCCAAAGCTTCAATTGCCGATGACATATTTAGTGTTTTAACTCGTCTCACTGTTATTTTGGAATTATATTTCGAAAAACTTCAGACTGACAAGCAATTATAAATTATTTATGTCCGGAGATACGTCGAGAGAATGCATCGCAACATTTACTATTTTGCGTTTACTAAAATTTCCCGATAAACAATCATAACCTCAACTCTGTGCGTGCGATTTATACTAGACTCTGCACTCGCTGCATGTGTTTTGTTATTTACACTGTCAGTATAGTGGAAATCTATAGTTTACATAACACGTATATATATACAGGGTGTCCCAGAATTGCCGTACAATCTCTCGTAGGCAGGTAGAAGGAGTAAAACTGAGTCGAAAAGTCCTGAACCATTTTTTTCTATTATTTATAATAAAGGAGTAATTATTGAGTAAATTAGGCCAATCAGCG